TATCTTCGGTTATCGGGAGTTTCTGTTCACTTATAAAGGGTTGTAAATCTAATTGGTCTCATTGGTGAATTGGTCTTTATTTAATAAAAAAAAGTTAATTAGTTGCAATTAAGAATTAAAATTAGGTGTGGTTAAGTACACTAACCGAAAAAATAATTGGATATTCTACCCTGGGGTTAATTTGCAATATTCCTATTTTGTTTAATTATTTTGAAGAATAATGATTTTTTTTTAATAAAGCAAATTTAAAAACAGGTTGCTTTCTATGTTAAAGTACACGGTATATAGGAAGCTTTTTCAACTGAGATTATATGAAGTCGATGTCCATTGATCATCGATTTTTTTTATTTGCTTAAAGCATTTCCCCCTCCATTTCAAAATCAGTATAAATCATCTATAACACCATTCAAAGCAGTGTATATTATGATGTTTTAGTAACTATTGCTCAAATTTCACAGTATTAAAAAAAAAACAAAGAAAAACGCAAGGGAAAAAATCCAATATACCAATTTATATGTTCGTGAACCAGAGACTATTTTTGTTTAATTTAAATTACCCCCATTGCTGATGAAGAAAAAAATTTCTTCACACACATTTTATCATACTCATAAACATCTCCATAAAACGAATTACGATTAAAACTTAACATAAAAGGATTTGTTTTGAAGATTTTTTTTCTTATCAATAGAAGTAGATCGATGTGAATGTTATTTCTTTAGTTGAACACGTGTAAATTATATAACATAGACACGTGACTGCAGATTTCTGAACAATAACATATCCACGTTTTATGTCTAATGTCTGATTTCTAAAAGGCAGACTTTTTTTCATGAAAACATTCCTCAACGCAAAATTAGGTGTAAGCTGGCTGGATTAATTATAAGTCAATAATTCTTAGTTTCATAATCAAAATATTTACCGTGCCATGAAAATATCTGAGTATCTACGGTGCAAGATATTTATGATGGCCTTAAGTAAACAAGACGAAGATGTTTGCCCTGATTTTAGAATAAGAGAGCATGTATGACTTATTCTTCGTTTAAGGACATTTGCTGTTGAAGAGGTACGGATATTTTTTATTGATAGGTTTGTCATTCTTTATTATTTGTACAAAAATCGAAAAAAGAAAAAAAAAATATATTTGATAAGAAGTTTTAGAGTTTAATTTTTATTAGATTTACTTCCAATTTATAGGTTTTATAAAGAAAACAAAATGCGCAGTGCTTACTCTCTTATTCGGACTAAGTGGTCAACAAATTCTCCAATAGATAAACTCAAAAAAATGAATTATGACATTTCTAGCCAAAAAATATAACGAAGGAAAGAGGGGAAAAACAATTAACTTACTAGCAGCTATGATATTTAACGAAGTCTCCTATATTTTTACACAGAGCTCTTCGATCTGTTCAAAGAGTTGTAAATAGTTTAAAATGGCCATTACCACCCTGTCCTATTAACGTGCCTTTTCCTCTTTTAAAAAAGCCGTTATGTGTTAGCCAGAAGTTATAGTATTTCCGTCTAGAATGTATTTACCTTACGTTAACTTTTCAATGTACCTATTGATAAGGCATTTACGGGAAAATCGTTTAGCATGAAACCGGATATGGCGATTTTACGGAAATAGCAAAGTTTTTTGAATCCCAAAGGAAGAGAACAATTCTTAACAATTTCTTGCTTTTCTTTACTTTTACTGTAATATCGAACTCGAATACAACAACTTTATACATATAGCGAATAGATTTTTTTGTCTATAAAGGATAAAAAAAATCCACATCTTTTAAACTGATTTATTCAAATTTTCAAAATCAAAATAAAACAAGATGTGTTTGTGAAACACTGATGCCCCCGTATGGCAGCTTATGGCGCAGTTTAAAGTTTCTCAAATGCAAGTCAAACTCCAGGTCAAGAGATCAAAAATGTTGGTACCCAAAGAAAGGTCTTGTCTCGAGGAATATACCTATTGAATATGAACGCCCTAGCACCAACCATTGAAAAGTTATGGTGAAGGTTAAAGTTTTTTAAAAAATAGGTAAAATGGCAAGGTCAAGGTCAAATGGTGCCCAAGGGAAGGTCTTGTCACAAGTGATACACATGATCCTTAAATGTGAAAGCCCTAGAACCAAACGTTCAAATGTAATTGTCAAGGTTAAAATTGTTTAAAAGAAGGTTAAACTCCCAGGTCAAGGTCAATGCCAAAGTTGTTGGTATCCAAAGGAAGGTCTTGTCACAAGGAATATACATGTGAAGTATGAAAACCCTAACACCAAGAGTTTAAAAGTCACGGCCAAGGTTAAAGTTTTTCAAAGGTAGGTCAAACTCCAAGGTCAAGGTCAAAGGTTTAAAGTTGTTGAAATCCGAAGGAAGGTCTTATCACAAGGAATACACATGTGAAGAATAAATGCCCTAGCACAAACTATTCAAAAGTTATAGCTAAGGTTAAAGTTTTTTTCAACAGTAAGTCAAACTCCAAGGTAAAGGTCAAAGGGTCAAAGTTGTTGGTGTCCAAAGAAAGGTCTTTTTACAAGAAAACACTTGTGCAGTATGAAAGCCCAAGCACCAACTGTTCAAAAGTTAAGGGCAAGGTTAAAGTCTCATAAAATTTTGCAAAAGTGGGTCAAACTTCAAGGTCAAAAATGATGGTACCCAAAGAAAGGTCTTGTCACAAGAAATACACATGTGAAATATGAAAGCCATAGCTTCAACCAATCAAAAGTTATGGCAATGTTTAAGTTTTTGCGGACAAACATACAGCTAGACAGACGGACGGACGGACAGGGCAAAAACTATATGCCCTCGAATCTTCGATTACAGGGGCATAAAAACTGATTTGACGTTATCTTCTGTAAGTCTTTATATTTGAAATTTAAATCATAAACATTTTTTTGTTTATCAAGGTACGTTTTGTATTTAATACTATTTCATAACATATTCTGTATACATCTTGAAGGATAATGTGTAAAGTGTATAGGAATTCGCTATGTATACTTAAACGAATTCGTTATAGGGCTATAACGAATTATAGATACAGCTAAGTAATAAACCACAGGTCCTAGGACTTCGCTATAAACGATTTTTATTGTAATGTGGCGGTTCTTTACGTGGGTCCGTTTAAAATCATCAAAACGATACAATTTAGGGGTTATTACTTTTTTGAGTACGCCACATACATACACGTCATATGGCGTATATTTGAAAGATCATCATTAAGGAGACTTACAACATTACACACTGAAAAGTTGTAATTTTATGCCAAGTTTAATGCAGTTACAGTGATCTGCCCTTAGATTTAAGAAATAATTAAAAGAAATTTTCATGAATGACACAATATGTGATGCTTAGATTAAAGTACTCTTATGATGTTATTCGACTCTGATAGTGACCAATTATTTGCGTGTAGTTTCCCGATGTTAGTTAAAGAGTGTTTCTCGTTTTTTCCTGAAGAAATATGATATATATTATAGGGTCTTAAGAAAAATAAAGAACTGAATCTTTTGAATCTTTATGTGATACTTGTACTTTTCTCAAAGTCCAGAAAATAGCGTGATTCTATAATTAGAGTTTAAAGCCCTCTAAATGGGCGACGGTATCAAACTAGCTTTAGGCGTTTTAATTTGCATTTCATCAACAAGATATTTTTACATTTACCTGCAGGAAATTTGCATTTATACAAATACAGCATTAACAACATCTGTGAAACTTAAAAAGCATTTTCTGAAAATTGGAATAATAATATTCAGCTAAAGATTGAAAAAAAAAAACAGGTATGATTTTGAAAGCCTTTTTTTAAATGGTGATTCTAATTTAACATTTGAAAGTGCTGTAATCTTTTTTCATTCAAGATACATGCATGCATGGCTGAGTTGTTCGATCGTTCAATTTCTTTTTTAGTGCTAGAATGTTATGTTTTGCAGCCCTTATTAAGAAATTTCAGTTCGGGTTGCAAATATTTTCAGTTTGGGGGCTGTATAAAGAAATAATTCCTTTTCAAGCAAAACGTCATATCTAGCTATGTTTTGTATAGTATATTATATACATGTATCAGCAAGATTGATCGGAGGGGGCACAACCCCCACCCCTGCGTTCCTATGGTTATGTTTTAAGAACATACACAACTTCATAGTTGTTGAAAAGGGAAAAAAAAGAACAATGACTGACAGTTAAGCTTTTGAATAGAATTATTAATTAGATATATTTTTAATATATTTTAAATAGTTATCTTCCTTAGTTTCAGAGCTCTACTGATTTGTTAGACCAAAAATTAGGGGGGGGGGGGGGGGTAAATAAGGTAGAAAAATTAAACACTGTAGATTCATTATGTAAAACTAGGTAGATACATGGAAAAGGCATTGCAACACAATAAACTAACATATCACAAAAAGATCTTTATTTACGATAATTATTTTTTTTATTTTTTGACGTATCTCACCCCTCCCCCCAACACACACACACACACACACACAAATGCGTACACGCAGCTAACAGACACTCGGGCATCAACATTACTAACATACTTCTCCGTAAAAATATTAAGGAAAAAGAAAGTTTTGGGGATGATGTCTAGATCTTGCCCCGAGAGCTGATTAATATTTTGTCAGCATAAGGCATTTCTGTTCGTGGCATTAAACCAAAAGTACTTTTACCCTATACACATTTATATATTTGTTATGAAAAGTTTTTAGAAAAAAAATCAAGTGGTATATGCAAACGAATAACTGAAATATAATGATGTACGTTGTATTTTCACGAAAGTTTTACTCAAATCCAGTTCAATATTTACACTTTGATAGAAAACTTTATGCTAGATAAAAATATGCCATCTGTCAATTCAGTGCCACCTAGTTACAAGACTTTCTTATTATATTTTGATTTTACGAGAACTAAGAACAAACATATATACATCTGATTCTGGAGATCTCATGCATATATCTATAGAAACTGGTTTGATAAGGTCAGAGTATAATGAAATAGGTCAAGAATCAAGCACACTTCTAGATATTTGTTGCCCTGTCAAAATCAGAAATTTGGTTATTTAAAAAAGAAAAATAAAAACCTATTCTCCCAAAAGAGTAGAACCACATCACATCTCATAATTCGTATTAGTTATAGCGTAAAATCTATCACCTACACTAGATAATCCTGGAATTATATTTGATCCAAAATGGATGCCATCAGCGAGCTACTCGAGGACATCGTCAAGGAGTGCGGCGGATTTGGAAAGTTTCAATGGATTTTGATTCTCATCCTGTTTGGGACGAAGATCACGGTCACGTGGAGCATGCTTATGATGACGTTTGGTGGTGCCACGCCAGATTGGTGGTGCAATATTTCCAAGATGACGTCATCATATAATGCAACATCAGAGACGAACTCTTCAACTTCAGAGCTGTTCAAGAAATGTGAACCCCCGGCTAATATGACAGGTTCATGTGCATCTAAAAGATTTTCGTCTGAAATGAATACTGTTGTCAGCGAGGTAAGAAAATGTGCAAGATATGCACGTTTAGTGAACAAGTGATAAGTTGCACAATATATAAATATATTTAGCCGCGCAAAGGGATGCCAATCTTTTTTTTCATTTCGTCTAAATCATTTCATAACTTATCCTCTCTTGTAAGTTTATCTTTTCAATGGTTTCATTTTAGTTTGAGCTAGTTTGTGACAGCGATTGGATTACGTCTTTCACAACCACAATACAAATGGCGGGTCTTTTAGTCAGTTCCCCAATTGCTGGACAAATGGCGGACTCCATTGGAAGAAAACCAACCTTTTTTCTCTCCATTTTCGCTTTAACTGTCTGCAACGTAGGTGCAGGGTTCTCCGTGTCCTGGGAAATGTTTACGGTTTTCAGATTTTTGATAGGGTTCGGTTGTGGAATGTATCTGACAACTTTCTACAGTTTTACAACCGAATTTGTACCCATGAGATGGCGCTCTATGATTTCCGCTATTCCTGCATGGGCGACGTTTGCCGCCTTTTATGGACTATTTTCCTGGTGGCTGCATGACTGGGCGTACCTTCACTTCGCCACAGCTATCGTCACAGCACCATTTCTCCTTGGAATTTTGTAAGTTTGAAAAGACAAGTGACTACTATACGTGAACATTATAGCAGAATTCGAATTTTGGCGACTTATTTTCATTCATTAATGTGCTTTCTCGTGTTGATTAAAGAAAATATTACTTAGCATTGGTGAAGTGAACATGAAGACACACTGCTTAAATGAATTCATATCTATAAGCGCTTTGGAACACATTTTGTTTAATTTACAGTACTTGTTTAAATTCACATTGTTGCCTTTAAAGGCAAATATATATACACCCGTATATTTATATTTCTGAACATTATATGAGCTGAACATACACTCTATTTTTTATAGTTTGAATATTTTTTTTGGTTTATAATAGTCTTTGTGTATTTTTGTAGCATAATTCCAGAAAGTTTCCGATGGTCTATGGCTAACAATAAGTTTACAGAAGCAGAGAATGCCATTAAACGTATAGCTACCATAAACAACCGAGAACCTCCAAAGGCCTGTATAAAAAGACTTTATGACATTACTGAAGAAGAAAAAGGTCAAAAGAAACACAAGAACCACACAGTGATTGACATCTTTAAAAACAGGAGGCTTCTGAAGAACTCTTTTCTATTATGGACAAGTTGGTAAGTTGATTCCCTTACGATATACAAGTATGTCAAAGCCATATATTTAGATCTACTAAATATTATCACTTTATTTCTTTTGAAAACCACGGTCGTATATCAGTACGCTGGAGCTATATTAAAAAGAAAAGAATTTTTATCCAGAAGCTTTTTTTTGACACAAGAATTTCTCTTTTTTTTTTTTTATCAGGGTGGCCTGTGGATATGCTTACTACGCCATTTCTTTCGGAGTGGAGCAGCTCTCGGGAAGTCTCTACCTCAACATGTTTCTTCTCAGTGCCGTGGAGATTCCCGCCACTTTAATCACGTGGTTCTTAAACAATTGGTAAACTGGTCCTGTGCCATTGATTATAGATATTCAGCATTGACGTGATTTACTCTATATTTACACAAAGAAGGAATACAATAATAACGGCCGGGTTTTGTCTCTTGTATTCTTTGATTTTTTCTATTGCAGTATTGGAAGACGGTGGACTTGCTTCCTGTTTTTCATAATTGCAGCAGTAGGCGGGGCTACCGTCGGGACAGTGCAAATTATAGGTCAGCTATCGTATAAATGCGCCCACATTCCTTTTGGAGTACGATCAAAAGTTTACATGTTTAAGTGATAACATATACCTTAATTTTTTATGCTAATTCATCTCTCTTTCTTTCTCTGTCTGTATTTAGATTTATATGCTGTTAAATGGTGACAGAACAAAAAAAAAAAAAGCCTACTTGAAATTCTTACAAATATCAAAAATGTCATTTTTTTTTTTTTTCATTTATAAATCTAAACGTTTAGACGTGCGGTTATAACTTTTCATTTTTCCTGTAGATCCACCGCAGTCCGGAGAGATTATTAATATCGCCGCCCTCATTTCTAAAATGGGCGTGTCCGCCGGATGGGCGGCACTTATTATCTTCACCACGGAGAGTTACCCCACAGTAGTTAGGTATACCCTTGAAAGAAACATAAGGAAATATAAAAATTGATATAGGTAAAAAAAAGCATTTAAAGTGAAAAATAGACAAACTTCTAGGCCTACAGTGGGAAGTTTAAAAACCATTTCCCCATTCAGAATGAGATTTTTATTTCATACATTTTAGAAATATTGGGTATGGTATGGCAAATTCATCCGCCAGGATTGGTGCAATGGTCGCCCCTCAAATAGTCCACATTGTGAGTAATCCAAACAAATTCAGTCTTAATTTGGAGGATTTTTAATATACATCAATCGTAAAATTATGAATATGAAATATCATTAATGGCAAGAAAATCAAAGCAATGCCTACAAGAATTCGATCAATTATGTTTTGCATAAATTTTTTCTTTTTTTAAATATGTGTATTTTTTTCTCAGAGTAAAACTATTCCTGGTGTGATGTACTATATATGTGGCGGATGCATGCTGATTTCAGCGGTGTTCTGTGTCTTACTTCCGGAGACGAAAGGAAAAGCATTAGAGAACTTAATTCCCGAAAAGACCAAAAAGATGGAACATAAAAATCAAAAGGAAAACGTAACAATCCTAGCATACGAATTAAAAGAGAAAGAGAAATATTAAAATAATCGTCATTTCATTTCTTATTTGAAATGCCTCCATCTGTACAAATAGAAATTATTTATAGAATTGTAAAAAAAAAATGCTTTGTTTAATGTTCATGTTTATGTGTTGAAAAAGGTTATACTGACTGAATGATAAGTTGATGCCTATATTCTTTTTCATATTTTTTTTCTTGTTTTTTTTTTAACAAAGGACACTCAGAGACTGTCCTATAATGCATTACAGAAAATTAATATAAAGTGAGTTTTAACTGATGCGTGCGGTTTTTTTTTTTTTTTTTTTTTTTTTTTTTTTCAAATGTAAAAATGTACATTAGATGAATCAATGTACTTGCCATGATCATAAAGATATGTTTATATTAAGACCTAAGGGAACGTAGTTCAATTTATAAAAAGGTTAAGGTATCATGCATGTTGTGGGGGAAAGTTGAACTTAGTTTGTCAATTTCCTACTTTATTGGTAGATATAACCATTAATATGTAACAAATTTACCTTAAATAATTTCAACAAGAGGCCCATGGGCCACAACGCTCACTTGAGTAACTTTGATCTTACTGTTTTTCACGTGATTTCCAACTTGTAGTACTTATTGTGGCCCCGCCCTACCCCCAGGGGTCATGATTTGAACAATTAGAATCTACACTACCTCCGGATGCTTCCACTTATGTTTCAGCTTTTCTGGCAGAGTGGTTCTTGAGAAGATTTTTAAAGATTTTTCCTATGAATTTCAATGTGAAAATTGCATTCCCTTTTGTGGCCCCGCCCTACTTACAAGGGTCATGATTGGAACAATTTAAAATCTTCAACACCCCAGAATGTTCCACATAAGTTTCAGCTTTTCTAGTCCAGTGGTTCTTGAGAGGAAGATTTTTACTACATATTTTAATGTAAAACTTGGATTCCCTAGTGTGACCCCGCCCTACTCCTGGGGGTCATGATTTGAACAATTTAGAATCTACACTACCCCAGATTCCTTCCACATAAGTTTCAGCTTTTCCGGCCCAGTGGTTCTTGAGAAGATTTTTAAAGATTTTTCTACATATTTCAATGTAAAGCCTGGATTCCCTATTGTGGTCCCGCCCTATCCCCGGGGGTCATGATTTAAACAATTAGAATTTACACTACCTCAGAATGCTTCCACATAAGTTTCAGCTTTTCTGGCCCAGTGGTTCTTGAGAAGAAGATTTTTAAAATTTTTTACTACATATTTCAATGTAAAACTTGGATTCCCTATTGTGGCCCCGCTCTACCCTCGGGGGGTCATGATTTGAACAATTTAAAATTTACACTACCCTAGAATATTTCAACATAATTTTCAGCTTTTCTGGCCCAGTGGTTCTTGAGAAGAAGATATCTTAATGACCCTACCCAATTTTTGTCTTTTCTTGATTATCCCCCCCCCCCCTTTGAAAGGGGTTTGGCCCTTTATTTTAATAATCTAAACTCCCCTTTACCCAAAAATGCTTTGCCCAGTGGTTCTTGAGAAGAAGCTGAAAATGTGAGAAGTTTACAGAAGGACGGACAGACGGACAGCTAGAGGACGGACGACGGACAACGGGTGATCAGAAAAGACACTTGAGGTAAAAATTTTACAATTTCCTATACCTTTCATGTTTCAGAGTAGTGACTTTTCCAATTCAGCGAATAACACTTGTTTTCAGAATTAATCCTTTCTTTCATAAAATGTCCCGACCTTCTGATAAAGTCTTTCATAATCTGCTGATAAATGCGACGTTTCATAACGGTCCTTCAAACTTAAGTGGTTACAATGTACCACTTCACCCCTCTTCAGATTTATTCGAACAACTGAAAAATGCATGTTGTTTGATAACATGCTAAGTGAAAAACGTTTACAACGAATTGGACTTTTATACCGATTGAATCGTTTTTCTAGATAAGAAATGGACTTTTATGAAACAAAATCTTTTCTTTTCGCGACGACATCACTGCGAATTTAAAACTGTGCATCTTTTACTGAATAATACATTCATAATGGAAGACTGTGAGGTCAAGCACGGTTCTATAAATAACTATAAACGTATTCCAGGAGCACATGTGGTACAAAAAACGGGGGCCAGCAAAAATTAAATAAAATTGCCCAAAATTAAAAAAAAAAAAGGGGAGCGTTATAAACCTCCCTCTACTGCCGTGTTGTATTGGTTCCCTTGTATTTACTTCTTCTAACTTTAAACGGTGTAATGTGTTAATTACTGGGTAATGTCTTATATTGAACATACCCGTAAGTTACATGAATTTACAGGCCCGTAGGAACCGGAAGTATGCACTAGGCATCCCCCACTAAACTATAGAACACATTTTTTCCTGTCTGCTGAATTCCTTTTTTTCTGTCTGCTGAAGTCCTTTACCCTGACAACTGCCGTCTTTTCCCGCCTGTGGATATTTTTTTTCTCTTCAGCATACATTTATGTCCTTTTTGGGGGTTAAATTTTCTTCGTCACCCTCCCCCTAATGAAATTTCTATCTACGGTTTTTTTTTATATAGGCATTGTACACAGAATTGGAATAGGATGGTGTACCTTATATCATACATACTTACAATTCGGGTTTTCATGAAAGACATTTTTATTTGAAAATCAATTTAAAAAAATAAATCTAAAAAAAATAAACATTTTTTTTTTATAGTTCAAACGACTGTTTTATTTCTTTTGAGAGCAGTGAAGATTGATCTCATGGTTAACTGTTTATCAATCGCTTGTCTAAACTTTTGAACTTTGAATTATGAAATTTACACTGACACAAATTCCACTTAGTCAAGGGTTAAACATGCTATTTCAGGTAAAAGTAAAGATAACCGACCCTTCTTTTTAAAATGTATTATTAAACAAATATAAACAAAAGCAATAAGTTCACATGACATTAAGATTCACTTATTCTCTGATAAGCGAGATAACTCATATTTGGATGATTTTTTTTTCTTTACAACATTATTTGTCAAATTTTCCTCTGCAAGGCATGCTGAAATCATTAGAATTTAAATTCATAAATTAGACTTTTGGATAAATCAATGAGCTAAAACAAATTAAATTTTAATAAAAATGAATAGAGGTGAAAACCTTTATTTAGCTAGCATATCAATACCCAGGAAATCTATATCAGTTAGCACATCAATACCCAGAAAATCCGTCTCAGCTAGAACATTAATGATACTCAAAAACTCAAACCAGCTGAGCACATCAATACCAAGAAAATCCATATCAGCTGGCACATCAATACCAAGAAAATCCATATCAATAAGCATATCACTACATATAAAATCCATATCAGCTAGCACACCAATACCCAGAAAATTCATATAAAGGATTGATTCTCTATAGAGTGTAGGAAATGGCTGGCTCCCATAAATTTTATAAATCATTACTTACAGCAAACATCAAAATATCTCAATTATCTCATGTCTAGGTTGAAAAAAATATATTAAGGTCACCATTTCTCTGTTCACTCATAAACTTAACCTTTAAACGCTAATGATCTTCTTAAAGAAATATTTAGATTGAGAAAATCCACACAATCTCAGCAAACCTTGCGGGTCAAAATGACCTGCTAACTTAAAATTTTATAAAGGAATAACTGCATGTCATTTAACCAAGTGAGAGTTCTCTCTCTTATCAGATGGTCATAGCACTTCAACCTAAGTAATATATAGCAAACTCGAATGCAAATCGATTTTTTTTATTAAGAAGTTTTAAATTCGATGTTGAGAGTAGAAACAGATGGAATGATGCATTTCAATGGTTTTGATACGTTTTACGATATCGTAAGCTTGAAGGAACGATTAGTTATCCTTATAGGGGATGGCCTGATGATGATATTTAACCTTAAAACAAGAGATGATTGTGAAACACTTATGCCCCCCCCCCCCCTTTTTCCAGGTCCAAGGGGCATAACTCTGTCAAAAATTGCTCGATCATACTCAAACAAAACTTTTTGATTAATCTGTATACCAAATTTCATTTCAGTATGTGCAACCTCTGCTAAGAAAATGAACGGAAACTACTGATGGACCGACAGATCGACCAAGAGACAGCAGCAAAAGCAATATGCCCTTCCTTCTTCGAAGGGGGGCATAAAAAGAATTTCTCATGAATTGTAACAATAACAATAGAGACATGACTGTAAAATAACAGAGAAAAGTTCTCATCAACAATTCAGAGAGAGAGAGAGAGAGAGAGAGAGAGAGACTGGATCAAAACTAAATATGTAGTGGAAATGTTGCAAGTATTATTAATATAGTTTTTTTTAATTTTAAGTAGTAAAAGTAAGAAAAAATAGATAGATACAAAAATGTATAATATTATGGATATATATTTGTTTAGAAAGTCTTATTTTCTATAAATCTTTGTATCATGTCGTAGCCCCTCTCTGGTTGGTCGTACGGTAGGATATGTCCGGCATTTCGTACAATCACCTGTAAAATATGGATATTAAACAAGGACTCACTTTAAATACACCTATACACTTCAGTCAAACTTCTTTATCTCAAAATCAATGGGGTTCAAAGGAGAAACTGAGGGATGTCCAAAGGTTTTGAGATACGGGATTATAATACAGAACTTCCAAGTCATTTCCTCATATCCATAAATTTTGAGATATTATCAATACTTGATCATTGAGATACTGAAATTCAACTGTAATATATACATGTATACAATCGTGATAAAATTAAAGTCTACTAAAAGTCAAGTCTACACCAGGATGAGAGAACCATATGTAATAATTTCAAACATTTCTAATCATCAAAAATTTGTATAATTCTGTTTTATTAAGAATTTTTTTCGACAGAAAGTCTTTCGACATGCAGAGACACATGTAGGTGACTCACTGATTTACAACTAAACCTTGACATCTGGCTTTTTGTATTTTTGTTTAATTTTAGCGTTCAATTGCTCTCACAGATAACCAAGCTCAAGATTTTTCTCAGACTACAAGGTTGTATTTCACTTCTTTACCTACACATTTACACCCATCACATTTGGTTATATTTAAACTTGAACTTTTTACTTAAACTTATTAATAAATAAGGTTTACCTGATAGAAATTCTTGACCTGTCTGACGTAGCCTGCCACCTCCTTGTCGTTGGGGTTTATCCTCCAGATTAACCTGTCAGTGGTCCGGTACATGTCCTTCCCTGACCAATCAATGGACAGAAGGAAATACTCGGTCATCGGAACAGGAATAATGATATCCAACTGACCATTGTAAAACATAACCTGATAAAGTAAAACTATAAATTATGCTTGGAATGCAGTAATGCTTTATTCCTTCAGACTTGTAGTATCAGGGAGGGGGGGGGGGATTTCATAGTAACCAACCCCCTCTCATTTGCAGTACAGACCATCTCTACCCCAGTAACCCCCCATAAGGCTTTTTTGTTTAAGTTCCTAACGATTTTTTCTATATGTTTACAGTGTAGCCCTAAAAAATATGTTTCTTTACTATAAAAAGCTCATAAAAAGAGGCCCATGTGCCCCATCACTCACCTGAAAATTAGAAATCAGTTCAGTATTGAAAGTTAGAATATATGTGGTCTCACCCTACCCCTGGAGGACCGGGTAAGGGGGTCACGATTTGAACAAACTTGAATCTACATTAACTGAAGATGCTTCCATATTTATATGGCTAATCATGACATTAAAATATTTTTACAGATTTCTCCTATGTATCCCTTAGTAAAATTTTGATCTACAAGTGAGGCCCAACCTTACCTCAGGGGTCATGATATGGACAAGAATGAATCGACACTACCTGAGGATGTAGCCTCACCTTAGACCGGGTCATGATTTGAACAAACTTCAATCTACACTATGTAATGAAACTTTCACATAAGTTTCATCTTTACTTGCCCAGTGGGTATTGAGAAGCATTAAATTTTAACTAAATCCTTATTATCTCACCTTGAAAGAGGGCATAGCACTTCTTTGAACAAACATAAATCCCCTACACACAGGGATGCTTTGTAGTAAGTTTGGTTTAAATTGGCCAAGAGTTTTAAAGAAACATGCAAAATTATTTAGATCAGCACATAAAATAAGGATCAATCGGGTAACCATATACACACATTTTTTTTCCCTCAATGATTTCGTTTAAAGTCAAAATTTCACAAATTCTATGATGGATGCCATGACCTTGTTTGCAAATACAATCTGTCATTAAGTTGACTGACATTTTTCGTTCAAATTGTTAGGCCATTATTTTCAGTGAACTAATGAACACACTAAATTGTCTTCTGATTTTCCCATTACCCAACCATGACAAGGAGTTCATGGTAGGGGACCGGTTTACAGGGGATGCTTAATTCTCAATGGCAAGTGTTCCCACATGAGTTTTCAGAAGTCCTTGTTGTTTCTGCTCATAACTTGTATTAAAACTGCTCATAAATTGTAATGATTGAAATTAATTAGGCTGTTTCTGAGTAAAAGCTGAAAATTTTGAATGTTGATACATGTAGACAGGTTGAAAACAAATGATAGGTCACCTGAATAACACAGGTGACCGAAAAAAATTCACAATGAAGCTTAACCTTATAATTCTCCATAATGGTGACGATCCACGGTTTGACAGTATCCATGACATCATTAATGAGATGCATCTCTACCTGGGTACCACTGTTATACGTCAGATTACCAACATGGATGGCTGCACGGACTTCAGGTTTGGCGACGTAATTTCCATAATAATTAAACTCTTCTGGCTCCTACAAGAAGAAAACTGAATAATATTGCTACTAGGATTAAAATGAAGCAGTGAGTGAACATGGAGATGCTACACTTCCATTGCCCCCCTCTCATTTCTCTCTTTTTTTTTTTACTCTGACCCCCCCCCCTTCCCCAACACACACATACACCATACAAATCCAAAGCTGATTAATGAAAGTGATACATCCAGTAGGGACAGGGCCTCCTTCCCCTAAAAATTCATTGTCAAAGAGGCTCGATCCCTGAAGATGAACTATACTATATGAACTTTAACCTGACTTTCAACTTAATATGAATCTGTAGGTACTGTTTTCATTTATGATAATTACTTGCATTTTAATTGAACTCTATGTTATCTTTCATATATAAAGTTTGAATTTTCAATAGATCTTGACCTTTCTGTCATGACCTTCAAAAACGATAAGATCTTCCTCACATTATTTACTAATATGCATATGAAATACAGACAAAAAAGAATAATACGTTCAAGAGTTGAAATGAAGCAAATGAAGCATCTGGCTTCAAGGTGTAATTGGAACACACAATATCCTGCAACTTATTTTGTAAGCAGTTTATTGAAAAGAAGAAAATTAGACAAGCATAAGCATTCAGATCTTCTTCAAAGTGATGATTCAGAAGATCATTACTTTTCAATATGCATAACTGTTTCAGAAGAAGAAATGAAAATTCAACCAAAAACAGATTAATTTTTTTTTTTAATTTACTGAAAAAAGCTGGCAAATCAAACACAAAACAAATTCTGAGAAGTGCTTGCGTTACAACAGAGTGCTATCAACATCACTACATAAAGTTTCCTTTAAAAGTTTTACCTTATGACCTTTAAAAAGAAAAAGATTAATTGTAAAAAATTTACTTCCTATAATTCAGATTTATTGACCCCCCCCCCCCCCCCCCCCCCCCCCCCCCCCGATATAAGAGATAAATCTGATTCAGATGACTATTAATTTTTTACATAATAGTCAAGGTAATTGGCCATTTCTGTCCAATTTTGGCTGGCAGGATATGCTGAATTTGCATGCATTTCAATTAAAAATTATATTTCTTTGGAAAAATCAATACAGTTAAAGCAAAATTTTATATAATTGAACAGGACTATGAGCCTTAAAAAGATTTGCAAAAGGCCAACTTTAAAAAAAAATGTTTGTTTGCCCTCTCCTGACTAAGGATGAAAAAATTGGGTCGGTAGGTGGGTTAGAAATTTTGTTTTCCTAGAAAATTTCAATTTCAATGCAGAATTTTCAAAATCTATTTTCTGCAATGCATAAAAAAAATAATTGCTTCCTGGAGGTTAAAAAAGTTTTGAGTTGGGCCATTTTTAGCAAGTCAGTCAGGGGAGGGTAACAAACATTTTTTTAAAGATGGCCTATTTTGTAATTACCTCTGTCAGTAAGAAGTTGTAGTAGTTATGTATGTTAGAAACATTGTAAAAGTATGGCGCATTTGGAGTTAGGTCGCCGTTCAAAAGCATGTCAAATATCTATAAATAGAAAAGAAAGCAAAATTCAAGCAGATTTACCTTACCTTTGTACGTAAAAAATTGAAATTGTCGCCAATGTTTGTATTGTTGTAGAAATACGACTTTGTGCCACCCAAAATAAGTTGACTAATGATCTAAAAAGTGAAGAATGCAAATTTTCATTAAATATTTTAACAAGAGGCCCATGGGCCACAGTGCTCACCTGAGTAACTTTGGCCTTGCTGTTTTTCACCTGATTTCTCCCCCCCCCCCCCCCCCGGTAGTACTTATTGTGGCCCCGCCCTATCCCCAGGGGTCACGATTTGAAAAATTGGAATCTACACTACCCCAGGATGCTTCCAAGTAAGTTTCAGCTTATCTGGCCCAGTGGTTCTTGAGAAGAAGATTTTTAAAGATTTTTCCTATATATTTCAATGTAAAACTTGGATTCCCTATTGTGGCCCCGCCCTATCCCCGGGGGTCATGATTTGAACAATTTAGAACCTACACTACCCCAGGATGCTTCCACATAAGTTTCAGCTTTTCAGGTCCAGTGGTTCTTGAGAAGAAGATTTTTAAAGATTTTTCCTATATATTTCAATGTTAAACTTGGATTCCCTATTGTGGCCCCGCCCTACTCTGGGGGTCATGATTTGAACAATTTAGAATCTACACTACCCCAGCATGCTTCCACATAAGTTTCAGCTTTTCAGGCCCAGTGGTTCTTGAGAAGAAGATTTTTAAAGATTTTTCCTACATATTTCAATGTAAAACTTGGATTCCCTATTGTGGCCCCGCCCTACCCCCGGGGGTCATGATTTGAACAATTTAGAATCTACACTACCCCAGCATGCTTCCACATAAGTTTCAGCTTTTCTGGCCCAGTGGTTCTTGAGAAGAAGATTTTTTAATGACCCCGCCCAATTTTTGTATTTTCTTGATTATCTCCCCTTTGAAGGGGACTTGGCCCTTCATTTAAAAATTTAAACTCCCCTTCACCCAAGGTTGCTTTGTACCAAGTTTGGTTAAAATTGGCCCAGTGGTTCTTGAGAAGAAGTCCAAAATATGAAAAGTTTACAGACGGACGGACGACGGACAACGGGTGATCAGAAAAGCTCACTTGAGCTTTCAGCTCAGGTGAGCTAAAAAGCTGTATTAGTTACACTGACTTTCAATTGAGCTTTAAGTAAAAATAAGATGCCTTTGTGAAACAATGATGCCCTTGTATAGCAGCTTTTGGCCAAGGTTAAATTTTGCCCTAGTATAAACTGCTCAGAAATTATGGCCAAGTTAAACGATTACCGTAATTAGGTCAAACTCTAAGGTCATGAGGTAAAAAAAAATGTTGGTACCCTAAGAAAGGTTTTGTCACAAGGAATACATATTATTAATGTGAAATATGAAAGCCCTATACAGACCTGGGGTAGTGGTAATTATCACCTTTGGTTGTTTTAAATTTATAGCTTCATTGATTATGCCTGACCAGCTAATTACAAGTGCTAATTAATCCATTAAATTATTAAAACATACTGGTTTTACAATTACAGTATTATCTGTTAATTAAATATCACTTTACATAAAACATATAGTATGAAATGTTTATCATTTATTAGTCCCCTAACAATGAAACTGGAGGGACAATAAGTTTCTTCTGCGTCTGTCCGTCCATATAGCTGTCCCTCTGTCTGTCTGTCAGTTCGTTCCACTTGATTTTCAGCACTTTTTCCTAAATGCTTGCAGATATTAAGCTGATTTTTGGTATGTGAGTGTACTTTGATGAGTTACAGTTCAAGTTTGCATTTCGTTCTGCTTCATTGATTTTTGACGGAATTACGACCTTTTCAATTTTTAACCGTTTTCCACATTTTTTTCTAAACCCTAGCAGATATCGAGCTGATTTTTGGTATGTGACTTTATCTTGATTAGTTATAGATTAAGTTTGCATTTCATTCGCAAAAAGTATTGTAAACCACGGAGACATCTGGTTATATGTTTGGATAGGAACGTGCGACCTCACAAGCAAAAACAAAAAGTACATCAGTCTTAGAAACAACAGTGAAGACAAAATACAAAAAATCTCCAAAAATACAGAGAAATATCAGAAATTATCAAACAATACCCAAGCTCAAAACTAACCATCTTAAACACACCCATTTATTCAATCAAAAAATGGAACAAAGGGAAAGGACACAAGGACCCAGACACATTTGACGATCAAGATGTAGCCCTAGCAAATCAGATATACAACCTAAACAAAGAAGTCAGAGAAATTAACAAAACACTAGGATCATACTCTCCAGAATTCACATCTGACCTGCAAACCAACAAAAAGGTCAAAGTAGGAGATGGTCGTAAATTGAAAACAATAAAGCGCCACAACTTCAACCTCTACGTGGACGGAATTCACCCAGGCCCATTGCTATCCACAGTCTGGTTGAAAAAGATATCAGAACAAATTAAGAGAGATTGCTGGGAAACACCGAGTGGTAAGTAACGAGACAGTGTAAACAGATCCATCAGTACGGGTTTTTCCGCGCTATACTGGTTCTTCATGTTTGCACTGACTCTACTCCTACTACTCCATTTTACCATAAGCAACACTGAACACCATGTCAAATCATGGAATTACCAATAAACCACATACCAACTTATGAACACTAAAATGAATATGATGGGAAGAAGACCAATATACATCCCGCTCAGAAACAATAAAGCGACAAACCTGACACTTTTGATAATCATACTATCCGGGGACATCGAATTAAACCCTGGACCAAACAACTAAAGCATTTTCCCATGTGGCCTATGTAAATTACCTGTGACCTGGAAATGCCAAGTGGTATGTTGTGATGCATGTGACATCTGACATCATAAATCGTGTATAGAATTATGTACCCATGATTATGAGCTTCTCGAGCGCTCAAACGTACAATGGCTATGTTGCAAATGTGAAAGCATTAATGTCAACACTTTCACTTTTAGAAGTTATGAAATAGAACAATCAAACATATACTAAGGACTCACGGTACTAGATTTAACCCATCGACTCTGTAAAATCAGTTTTTAGCCCATTACGAGCAAGCAGTCCAATGAACAAATAAAATGGCCTGGGAAAGAATAACAACAGTCATACCAACCATAATTCTACAAAATCCAGAATGGACAGCAATCCCTACGATGTTCCACCTAAAAAAATCTACGAATTACGACTATCAACTGCCGAAGCATAAAAGATAAAAAAGAAAAATTCGAAACAGCTATACATTATTTAAAACCAGATATAGTATGTGGGACAGAATCCTGGCTTAAAGGGGTAAAACCAGGACAAAATCCATCAAAGAACGCAATTAAATCCAGCAAAATATTCCCACCAGAATACAATGTATAAAGAAACGACAGAGGTACACTAGGAGGGGGTGTCTTCATCCTCGTAGAAAAATCTATAACATCAATCGAAAAACCAGAATTCATAACAGAAGGAGAAATGCAGTGGGTAAAAATCAAAGTAAAGAACAGCAAGGACCTACTCATTGGCTCATTTTATATACCACACAGAGAACAGAAACACTTGGACGAATTAAAGAAGTCATTAGAAATAATAGACGATAACAACACCACAAACAAAATAATCACAGGAGACTTCAACTGCCCAGATATAAACTGGAACTTACAAACAGCAAAGGGACCAGACAGAGAAATACAACAAGAACTCGCCGACATCATGAGCGCGAACAATCTCACACAAATACATGAACATCCAACTAGAGAAGATCACCTTCTGGACCTGGTTTTTGTCTCAAATCCAACTTTAGTAAAATCATCTATAAATGTACCAGGCATATCGGATCATGACATCATAATTACAGATATGGACACAAAGGTACACTACAATTGTACACCAACTAGAAAATGCTATATATACAGTAAGGCAAACCGGAGTAATATAAACAAAGATCTAGAGGAACTCCAAACAACAATAGACGATAACAACAAAAGAAATGACTCAGTACAACAGCTATGGTCAACATTCAAAATATAAGTCTTCAAGACAATGGACATAAACATACCAAACAAAGAAATAAGATCAAGGAATAACATCCCATGGATAAAACACAAACACAAGAAAATGCTTAGACGGAAACAAAGGCTTTACAACCAGGCCAGAAAAACCAAAAAATGGTCCAACTACAAAGCATACCAGAAAGAATGCAAAAGATCACTAAGAAGAGCGGAGTGGGAATATGTCAATTCTAACATATTTGAAGGACTCCAGAACAGTAACAACAAACCATTCTGGAAGTATGTTAAATCAAAGAGGCAAGATTCAAATGGAATAGCACCACTCAAAAAAGGAACAACTTTGGTAAACGACAGCAAAGGGAAGGCAGAAATACTACTCAATCAATTCAAATCTATCTTCACAAAATCATCAAAAGGAGATATGCCAGACACAAGAATCAAGTCCAGACACACTATAACATCAATTAAAATTGACCTGAATGGCCTAGAGAAGTTGTTAAAGCAGGTAAATCCATCCAAAGCATCTTTTCCTGATAACATACCAAACCACATACTACAAGAATGTGCAACCAATTTGGCACCAATCTTGAAAATCATCCTGCAAAAATCGATCAACACTGGGGAGTTACCAAAAGACTGGAGGGATGCAAATATATCTAGTATCTTTAAAAAGGGAGATAAACACCTTCCCGGAAACTACAGGACAGTCTCTCTTACCTCAGTCACATGTAAGATCCTAGAACACATCATTTGCAGGCATATCATGAAACACCTGGAAACAAACAACATACTCACTAACTTAAATCATGGCTTTAGATCAGGATACTCATGTGAGACACAACTCCTAACAATGCTTAATGACTTCCTCACAGAACACGACAAGTCACATCAAGTTGACGTTGCCATCCTAGATTTTTCAAAGGCCTTTGACACCGTACCTCATGACAAATTACTCCATAAACTACATCAATATGGCATCCAAGGGGCACTTCACACTTGGCTTAACAACTTCCTAACAACAAGGAAAATGAAAACAATAGTAGAAGGAATAGAGTCTGAAGAAACATCAGTAGACTCGGGAGTGCCGCAGGGTACAGTCCTCAGCATGATAATGTTCTTATGCCACATTAACGACCTACCAGATGCCGTAAACTCATCAGTAAGCTTATTTGCCGATGATTGCCTTTAAAATAGAACCATCAACAGCAGCAAGGACCAAAAATTACTACAAAATGATTTGAACAATCTAGAAGACTTGGCAAATAAGTGGGGCATGAGATTCAATGCTAAAAAGTGCTACATTATGTCAATAAACCAGAAAACAACAAAATTATACCAACTTAACAACCACATCCTCCAAGAAGTACAAAACAACCCGTACCTTGGACTTGAAATTTCCAATGATCTCAAATGGAGTCTGCACATAAATAACATCAGTAAGAAAGCAAACACCACCTTAGGCTTCTTAAGAAGGAATCTCTGAAATGTCCCAGAGCAATGCAGAAAAACCGCATATATATCCCTTGTTAGATCCATCATGGAATATGGAGCTACTACATGTATCTGGAATCCATACCTCAAAGGGGATATAGATAAATTAGAAAAGATACAAAATAGAGCCATCAGATTTATTAAAAAGGACTACAGCAACAGGAACCTGGGAGCAATAACATCTATGAGAAAGAGCCTCGACATTGACACCCTGGAGGAAAGAAGAACAAGCCTGAGACTTATACTCATGTACAAAGTGGTTGAGGGGATGGTGCCGTCACTACCGCCTCACTCATTCATAACAAAAGCCAAACCCAAGCGCCAAATTAAACCAAGACATTTCAAGGACCATCATACAACAAATATAATCCAGAAACACATGTGTAACAACCGCAAATGCTTAGTCATACCAACCAGTAGAACACCACAATATCAACACTCATTTTTTTGTGGACATGTGCATTCATTGGAATCAACTACCGGACTCAGTCGTGCATGCAAAAACTGTAGAGGAATTTAAGACCGCCCTACAGCAACATCGACGCCAGTAATATCCGGCGCTCTCTCTACCGTTGTAAAAAAGCCATAACTGGATTCTACAATGTACAAATACAGATACAGATTCCGCTTCAATGATTTTGACAGAATTATGTCATTTTCAATTTTTGATGGGAATCAGATTACACTTGCCAGTAGGGGACTGGTATTGCTAATGCAATACTTTCAGAATGCTTTTAAAAAAAAAAAAAAAAAAAAACGAGGAACTAACATCAGAGACTGAACAAAACTACAACATTGAAAGTGTTCTGATCCACTTTTTTGTCAACTGTAGATTAGTAAACAACAAGAACATGATAAATGAATCCAAAATTCAAAACCACTCTGACTTATAGACCTGAGGGAAAGCACATTAACCGAGCACAAAGTGTGAAAAGTATAGATATAAAATTTGTGTTTTTCTCTTATAAAATGTAATCTGTAGTGTAATTGATTACTTTAACGAAGTAATTGTAATTTAATTAATTACTTTTCTGAATGAGAGTAATGGTAATGGTAATAGTAATGGAAAAAATTTCAAAGTAATTGTAATTAATGCATAACATTTCAAAGTAATTGACCCCAGGTCTGGCCCTATAACCACGATTTAGAAGTTATGCACAAGGTTAATTTAAGGTTCATCAACCCTGACAAAAGAGAGACGACTCTCAATGGGATAAAATTAACGGAATGTTATGATTCTTTTATAAAATTGTGAAATTGCCATTTCTGTCACATTTTGCCCTGCAAGGTATGTGGAATCTGTGTGCATTTTAATCATAAATCATTTTTTTTTTTTATTTCAAAAAATAATAAGTCTTAAACAAAATTCTATCGGAGTGAACAGAAAGATAAAAAGCCTTGAGGAGAGAGTTTAAGAAGTTTCATATTAAGGAGGGATATTTGCCCCATTAGGACACCTCCACATGATATTCCTATATTATAAAAAATTACAGTGTAATAATGCATGCTTTTCTAAGCACAAAATCTCTTAGATTTTCATTGGGTGCAACTGAACTGTCTTGTGCAGTCAAGACTTTTATGCTAACAGACAGACAAAAAAAGTCTATATTATGGTACATGTAAATAAGGGAGTGAAATAAATCTTTTTTCTAACTAGGTTGACTTACATCAAAAGCTGCTTTAAAGTTTTTCCCTCTGATGTAAACAGTAGCTTTATCTGTCATGTCTTGGAAGTAGGCTCTCTGTTTCTCGTCTAGTAAACCAATACTGTACATGAATGTAGCATATTGACCCATCATCTGTTTGAAAGGTAAATAAATATACTGTACGTGTTCTATAATGTATTGTCAAAATAAACAAGCTTAAACCAAAAAATACTGTATATGTTACAATAAACAAGCTAAAACCAAAAAATACTGTATATGTTATAGTAAACAAGCTAAAACCAAAAATACCATATAAGTTACAATAAACAAGCTTAAACCAAAAAATACCGTATTGAAAAGGGATGAAAAAATCATCCATAAAATTGACAACAGTAAAAATTTTTAAAGTTAGACCTACAATATTTGCTGAAGACTCATATATTCATGTACTGAAAACCAACTATTATTCACGTCATTCTTATTGACGATCGTCAGTTTTGAAATCAATCCGCAACAATTATTTTTCACTACTGAGGAAACTTTCTCTACAAATACAAAGCAAAATAATTGGTCCGCTGCGATTATTTATTCAAGAGTTAAACTAGGTTGCAATACTTGGGAATATTCTCGTACCTGAATAAAGGTTTACAGTATCCTTGTTATTAATGCATTTCATAAAGAAAATATAACTAAGTGCATATAAATTTTTAAAACTGCATAAAATGACATCTGAAATGGCATCACAGGCTATGTAGCCAATCAGAACATGTCATTCCTGGCTGTTTATCAAGCTTCCTTAAGAATAACTTTCTTATTTAAAAATTTTAGCTTTTCACTCTTAAAGATCAAGTCATATGTATATAAATGTAAATTAAAACTAAATTACAATGATCATCATTTTTTTTCAATTCGAAATTTTCTCATCATTGTTATATATATAGATATCTAAGCAGCTATATATTAGACTGTCTATGTTTCCACTGGCCAAATTTTTAAAGAAAGGTAATTAATAATTTTGTAAGCTGTCAATATAACCACATCTACAGTACAATTGCAGCTGATCTACTTACTGTTTCAGGGTCACAGAGACCATCACCAATTGCCATGCCTTTGAAGTTGATTTTGGTCTTTGCACTTGGATTTTCCATGTGAATTTTGTATGAAATGGCAGGGACATATTTACCAGCGTAAGACTGTAAGTAAATCATCAACACATTTATCAAGCTAGAAAAATCAATACTGGATTAAATAGTTGTGGGAAAAAATTGGATAATTAGGACAGGAAAAATTAAGCATGCTTGAAACGACTTGCATTTATACATAGGTACATAAATTAAAGTGAAACATGAATTACAGGCAAAAAGAAAAGTTCAGTTTGTGGTTGGAAAGGAGGGTGGGGGGGAGGCAACCAAAGAGAACTAAGACATTCCTTGACATGCAAAAATAAACATGTCAACAGAGGCTATTACTGAGGTGGCAAACCTTAGTAATGGGGGGGGGGCTTTTGACCTGCTTGATAAAGTGTCAATGAATGATAAGAAATGCTTTTAATTACATGTAAAAGTTCATATATAAATGTACCTCTCCTGTGGCATAAAAATCATTTTTCTGGAACTGGTGAAAAACTTGGAAGAATTGTGTCAGGCAGCTGTAAATTAAACACCATAAGCAGAAAAATCTCATAATTCATCTTCACATAATGGCCATATTTATATTCAAACCTAGCTAACTCAAACTCATTGCGACCAAGTAAAATCTTTGAGATACAGTCCAACATCAAACGCTTGGATACCTTGAATGGGTCAGACCTGTTTAGACTGAGACTGAGATTCAGAGACTAGACTACTACTTTTGTCAAATGGACTCCACTGTATATTTTGATAAAATTATGTATCTGACATGTTCCATACCAATTGTTAAACCATTGCTTTTATAATTAATTTGACAACAGAGTACTCTGCATACCTGATCAATACAAATGGTTCGTGGTGGGTGTGACGAGTTGACAGGGGACGCTTACTCCTCCTAGGCACCTGATCCCACCTCTGGTGTTTCAAGGGGTCAGTGTTTTTGCCCAATTCACGATTTATGATTTTTACATGATTTATGAGCTTGATCACTGTTTGTTATCTTCAACTTTTACATCTCTAAGACATTTTTTTAGACTAGTTCATATACATGTACATGTACCTTGTAATTTCAACTCAAGTTATTAAAAGATTCATAATACCTGTATAAATCTCTTGCAACATCCTGTTCATTAGTGGCGTATCCCTCATCTTTTCCTGTGAAACTAAAACCTGTCCCAACCTATGTAAGCAGAATATTAGCATACTGAAATAAACTTCTAGGAAATCAAGTTCCAAATGTCAATTACATTACTCCCCTCAAACCTTTTGATTTTTTATAACTTTTATGTTTGATCCACAGGCACCTGACGTTTTAACATTTTAAATTTATACTTGCTACTAAAAGACAGTCCTTTAGTTAATATATATTGTTAACAGTGAACTTGATACAGACATATGATTAGGCTATATTTCACACACAGACACACTTACAGGGTTGTCAATGTACAGCATGGAGTACTTTGTGTTCCATGTCACTTTTCTGTTGCTCACTGAAATTGAGAACAAATTTCAATACACACAAAATTATACAGTCACCTGTGTAATTCAATCTACATGTAACAACCTACATTGGTAAGAGATCCCTACATATATTTTTATGCCCCACTCTTCATAAAAAAAAAAAAAAAAAACTAGCTGAACACATCTGTGAGATCAGGTTAAGGTTACTTATAAAATGACTTTGCTTATGTAAATGTATCTGCATCTTTATTCATTAAAGACATAGTATTACCCTCAATTACTCTGGCTGAGACTTTTTCGTCACTCCTCAATTCACAATTTATCATTGGTATTACAAAGTATTACCTCAAATAAAAAAATCTGTTGATTCCAGAAAATGACATAACAAAATGAGTAACATCAATTTATCCCATGTAAACTTACACTTGATATTTTTGTCCACCATGATTGGCCCATTTTCCACAAACAGTCCAAACAGGGAGGAGCCACCGGGGCCACCTTGTAACCAGAGTACCACTGGTGCTGTCTCTGGGTTTGTCTAAAATCGACGGAAATCTCAGTCTTAATTATCTAATGTATACAGGGTTATTTTCATCCCATGTTTTTTTCGCCCTTTCAAACGGACAGTTTTGCCCAGTCACAGTTATGTTTCAAAAATTGTACTGTATTCTATGAATTCCACTTGTTTTCAATTTGCTCACCAGTGATTAGGGTGAAAAGAGTGAAAATAAAACAGGGGCAAAAATTTCCCAGTACTATACAGTTTCAAAATTCTTAACCAAGAGTGTAGGAAGATGCTAAAAACTCAAATTTCATGTGACATGAGAGCTCTCCATATAGTTCAATCAATGGGGACTTCACACCCTTGTCCCCCAACAAGGGCTTTTCACTCCACCCACAAAGGGGAAACCACTGGTCTATTTAGGATCAGTATGACATTGTTTACTTTTCAGTTAAAGGAAATAATGTTCTATAGACAAGTATGGCACAAATTCATGTACACTGCAAATAATTAAAACATTAATTATTAATTTTTATTACATTAAGATTACATTGTAAATGGTCTTGCCTATACTATTGATATTTTATTACATTTGCATTACATTTCCTTTGGTTCTTACCTGAGCAGGAAAAAACCAGAAGAACATATTGCTATTTGTGGTTTTATTAACCGTGAAAAATCCTGCAAAGCTCTCTAGATTGGTTCCTTCTAGAGGTCCCACTTTACTTAGCTTCTGAGCTGAAAATAAAAGTTAATGTTAACTGATTCCTTATTAATAGACTAAAAATTGTTACATTTATTACACTTTCCACAGTGAAATACCGTAATTTATTTATTGTACAAAAGTGATATTTTGTCACAGTGTGAAAGAATATCAAAAGTGTAACAAAATTCTTGATTTTCCTTCCCTTCATGAAGACTGTTGTAAAAATACTCTCTAGCCTGTTATAAGATAGAGTAAATAAACCATCTATACAGAGATTTAAACTGTCAAAGCTTCTCCAAATATATTGTAGAAGTCCATGTTTACAATGTTATCAATCTCACAATAGCTCAGTTATGACATCTCAACCACTCAGCTATGATGTCACAGTCTATGACACTGTGTTACTAGAAGACAGGGGCAAGGGAAAATCAAAGAAAATGTAATATTTATTAAACAGAAGATTCAATACTCAATCTCGAATACTGAATCAGATAACACATTATTTTTTGTGAGATAGTAATATTATATTTATAAGAAAGACGAAATTTTCAAGTTTCTGGTTATTGTTCAATTTATATAAATTTTAATTATACTAGTATAAGAATAAATTCCCAGGATACTGTACTGACATTATATTGCCATCCTACCCATGCCATCCTTAAAAAATTGCTTGTTTGGAATTGCCACCTGGGAGGTTTCAGACCCAGTAGGGAGGGAGGGAAATTATTTTTTTTCTTCAACATTAAAGTTAAATTAAAAATTGATGATAAAAATCTCAATAAGGAATGAACACACTATTTTCTGCCTTTTTATAAGGGTATCTCCCATCAACCACGAACCCAGTTTTGCTTAGATCCTGATCCCATCTCTGATGTTTGGAGGTCCATGTTTGCTCTGCTCCTATTTTGTATTGTATAATGGACTTTTGAGCTTGAATACTGTTCGTTATCTCCATATATTTCATCCTACACTTATTAAGTGATTGGGTGGCACATGTGGTAACAGGCCAAGAACTGATTGAATAAAATAAAATCTTCTTATTTTCGGTCAGTAAAATTTTTCCAGGAGGGGTCATTTCAGTGAGGTGGGAGGCAATTCCAAACAAACAATAATTTTATTTTGGCCCCATATCAAACCAGGGGCATAGCTACATGTAGGGGGTGTTAATGTGGAAGCAAATCAAGACAGGGGGTTTGGGGGTGAATTTTCAGCATTTCTGTCACTTAATGTCGAGTATCCAGAAAGAGAGTTTCATCAAAATAATCTGAGTTTCAACGTTTAAAATGCTTATTTCCTCATCATGAAATTATAGATAAAGAAGAAAAAGTATTGCCTGATTTATGATGGGATTTAATTTTTGTTTTATTATTATTATTATTATTTTTTTTTTTTTTGTGAAAATGATGTGGAAGCACTTGCATACTTGCGTATGCCTAGCTACGTGCCTGCAAACTGTCCCTTTTCTATGTACATGTACATAATTGTACAGAGTCCAGAAAAGTGGATGCTAAATATATCAAACTGTCCCTTCTTTATGCTTAGAGAATGTTAAATATACTACTGTCTGACTCTTACCCATATCAAACTGTCCCTTCTCCACATACGGAGTCAAGAATAGTGGACTGCCTGGGTCTATTCCATTGTGCAGCATTGGTGGGTATTTGTCAGGAAACATCCCCCTAAATCCACTCCTGGCTGTAATCAGAGGTGTCAGGCACAGAATACCAAAAAGGTTATATGTGATGATTGACATCTTCCCTAGAATAAAAAAAATACATAGATGGGGATCTTCTCACAGGGGATGCTTATAGATTGGCCAGACCCCACCATGTATCTAAATAAATAAGTACTACCTTTGAGGCATGCATGTGACCATTCAGAATATAGTATTTTATATAAATACTGCCAGGCCTAAGAAACTATTTTTTACTGTGTCATAATTTCAAATGCTAGTTTTCTTTCAACTGTTTTTCACATCTCTTTGACAATAATTTTCCCTACAGTGCCACGTCAATTTTTTTTTCTCCGTGTTCCTCTCACCTTAGCAATTTAGTTTAGTTTCTGATATTGAAGAGTTAAGTGTTAAGCCATCATGTGTTCATAATCACATGACAGGTTAGACTTAATATTGTGAATATGTAAATTTAGATTTTCTCGAAATGGAATATGACTTTTTCTTTGATTATACTGATAATCAAGAAATATGGATAAGTGAGAAAAAAAATATGTTCCTGTTTACAGACACCTCTAAGATACAAGGTTTAACCTAAATTGTATTATTTAATAGACATAAAATTAATAGAAATGAACCATATCGAATAATAAACTATTTTACAAATGACTTATGGTATTGAAACCCCCTCTCCCTAAGAAACAAGTATCAAACAAGCAAAAGCTAAAACAAAAAATACACAAAAGGGGGGGGGTATGAACATGCAACATTATGAATATAAGATGAGGAAATTCGAAACCATAACAGCTATCCTAAAAAGAAAGTTTGATTATATGCATTAATACAGGGGAATTACCTTTTTGACCTATGTATTAAGTGTTTAAAACCAGCGATCAGACACTGTTTCCTGGTCGTTCTGTTTAAATGTTTTTTTTATCATCCGCTATAATTGTCACATGACACTCACGTGTTTTGATGACTTGTTGATTCGTTCCTAGACGCATTCGATAGGGTTTTTTTTGTTTTGTTTTTTTTTTCTTTTAAATTAAAGATAGATATACAAATTGACCACATAACTTGGTATAAAGTAAGAATAGATTAGAAAAATGTATACATTCAAATATTTACATTTTCAAATATTGTTCCTAGATGAACCTTTAAAAGTTTACAAGAGCAAAGTTTAATTCCGGGGGTCAGACGTCATGTAGCGGCACGATGATACCTTAAGAAATTATTGCACTTACAATTACTTCAAAGATATATACGTAATACCACATTCATAAGGTATAGCATGAATTTCGAATGGGTCCGGAAATGTGGGGCTTTTGCTAAATTGATATATCCATCTTGTCACTTAGCAAGTAAAATGAAAATGAGGCGAAAAATATTGTCAATTTAGGTGGAATTAAATCAAAAGGTCATTTGGTCGATGATTGACATGATACAAGTTCCTTACTGAACAATTATTTGGGGTATCTGAACAATGGCGGATCAAGGAATCTTGAAAGGGGGGGGGGCGACCAGTTGGGTCGGAGTAGTGGTCCACAGCCACACAAAAAATATATATATTAAATCTTATGTATATTTTGGACACAAAAGGTGGGGCCCGGGCCCCCTGGGCATCCCTTTAAATCCGCCAGTGTATCACGTGATATTCTGATGGGTATGAACTCATTCGCTAGCGTGAACTCGATCGATCGTCACCCATCAGAATATTTCGTGATACCCTAATTGATTGTTCAATTACTGTTAAATATACTGTAGGATATCCTACATGTATCCCAGAATTATTGAATATCTTTTCTTTTTGCTTTTGCTTGTCAATTTTTTCACTTTATTGCCCCCCCCCCCCTCCTCACACACACACCCTGCTTTGTGGGAAGGTACACACAGAAGACGCACATATGTCATTATTTTTTTTCTCATGTCCTATAAGCGACATAATATAACTAGACATTATATCTAGTTCATTTTGCTCTTGTTTTTCCAATATCCCATAAGCGATTGGATAAACAAGAGTCAATGAGCTAGATATAGTGTTACAAGAATATACTAAGATCAATCTTTAGCACACAAATGTGTCGAAGTCTAGTCACAGATGTGCAGTATATTGTATCTTCTTTTTTCCAAAATTGAATTAATGCAGATCTACTGTTATTTTTTGTATAATTTTACTTCCTAAAGAAAAGAGTGAGCTCATGTGCTTGGTGTCAAACGATAGAAAATTCCACATGTCGACTACAACAGGCCCGTAGGAAGCAATTTCAGGGGGTTTTTTTTGGGGGGAGGGGGGCAGCCATACATTTTCGGTTGGGGGGGGGGGGGCACTATCAACTACCAAAACTTCCTTGACAAGCAAAAAAAGGGGGGGGGTCATCAGACGTTTTTTGTTGAGGGGGCACAAGCATATAGTAGATATGTTTTCTATAGTATTTTATATATCGGCACCTCTCGCCCCCCTCACCGGTTCCTACGGCTGTGTACAGCATAGACACTAGTAAACTCGTTCTGACTTCACACGTAGTTCACAGGCACTTGTTTCTAGCTGTAATATATTTTAACCCGTAGCCGAGGTTGACAACGGTTTTCAAGGGGTGAGTATTATATTATACTGAATGATTTAAACAAATAGATATTATACATTGTAATTGTATATATATATATATATATATATATATATATATATATATATATATATATATATATATATATATATATATATATATATATATATATATATACAGAAACAAGTGCCTGTAAAATACAGGTACAGTCGGAACGAGTTTGCAGTGCACATATTGGTATATTATAATTTTGAGAATTTTTTGTTCTATACGCGGATGCGTCACATCGCATGTCAGGAATAATACCACATAAGTAATCAGGAACTAAATAATTATAAATATATATAATTAAATAATTATAAATTCTGTACATGGCATTGTGGATCTTGTATTTATCACTAAACAGTTCCCAACTGCAGTTTCAAAATATTAAGAATTAAAAATGGACCCAATACAAAAACCTTGTGGACGCCGGCATTAAATGCCGGTGAAGATACAATGTCATTGCACTGTTTTTTTAAATACACTGTCTGTAACTCTTTGTGTCCTATTAGCGATATTTTGGAAAATGAATCTAAAATCGAGATCCCTTCGGTTCAGATTCGTTTCAAATTCAATAGTATATTCGAATTCGTTTCATCTAGAAACTTTCTCTTTCCAGAGGTGTACATGGGAATGATACATATAACTCTGGAATGAGAATGATACAGTTCTAAAAATCTCTATTTAAGAGACTTTAAAGACAATTTTTGAATTCATTTATTCATATATACACTGTACTGATAATAAATGTCGGAATAACCAAGTTTACGTGAAAGTAAAAATCTCTTTCTATAGCGAAGAGGCGTTTAATTTTTTTTTTTTTAAGTTATCAAATAAATATATATAATTTGTTTCAAAGATAGCTAGGGCCAAAGACTTTCCAATATTACAAAAATGGGGAGCGGGGTATTGCAACTTAAAACAAAATGTCAACCCAGAAATTCGTATTATTTTTCCAATAAAGTTACATGCATTCAATTAAAAACAATATTAAATTGTTTTTTTTTTTCATTACCAATTCACTTAATTTGAAAATATTGACAATTAAGAGTTTGCAAATTGAAAAAAAAAAGCAATAAGAGAAAAAATGAAGTTACTACGGAGAAGTATAGAATAAAAAAATCCCTACGTCAACTTTTTTATTATTATTTTTACAAAAAATTAGGTATGGCAAAATTGGTTATGAAATAAATTTATGTTGCAGCAAAATTATCATTAAAAAGAAAAAACAAATTCTATCTTAATCCTTTACATTGAACTTAAATTTAATAGCATTTAAACTGCACGCCGACGAACGAAAATATTTTGTTGTAGAAAATTAAAAGTTGAGTGATTTCTTTTTAAAAAATAAACTATCTACATAAAATATTTTGCTAATCATTAGCATTTATAAATATAACGTTTCTACAATGAAATTTCCTATGAGAAACAGTTTAAAACTCTTCTTCTTTACTCCTGGACATCAAGCAGCCAAACTGTTCGCAGGATTGTAATAAGCATTGAGCCCTCTACCAGAATTCTGAAATTCATGACAACAGGGTCAGGGGTTCTAGTGCTAGGGTGGTGCACTGTTGAATATATAGTGAAAATGCATTATTTCTTTAAAAAATCTTCTTCTCTGTTTGTGGCTATTAAGCAAACAAACTAAATGCATAGTTATGATGAACAAGGCTGCCTCTTCCAAAATTGTGAATTTCATGGTCCCATGGTCAGGGGTTCTGATGTTAAAGCGGGGCTCTATTGATTATATAATGAAAATGCACTAATTCTTTGAAAATCTTCTCCTCTGCTCCTGGGTATTAAGCCGATGAACCAAGTACATAGTTATGTTGAGCAAGCGTGTTTCTTCCAAAATTGTGAATTTCATGGCCCCTGGGTCAGGGGTTCTGGTGTTAGGGCGGGGCTCTATTGATTATATAGTGAAAATGCATTAATTCTTTGAAAATCTCCTCTGCTCCTGGGTATTAAACCAATTAACTATGTACATAGTTATGATGAGGAAGGGTGCCTCTTCTAAAATTGTGAATTTCATGGCCCCTGGTTCAGGGATTCTGGTTTTAAGATGGGGCTGTATTGATTATATAGTGAAAATGCATTAATTCTTTGAAAATCTTCTCCTCTGCTCCTGGGTATTATGTCAATGATCTAAGTACATAGTTATAATGAGCAAGGGTGCTTCTTCCAGAATTGTGAATTTCAAGGCCCATGGGTCAGGGGTACTGTGGGATGGGGTGGGGGGCTCTAATGATTATATATACTGAAAATGAATTAAGACTTTGAAATCTGCTCTTTGGTATTAATCAAACATTTATTATGAGCAAGAGTGCCTTTTCCAAAATTGTGAAATGTGTGGTCCCAGGATCAGGGGGTCCTGTTGGGTGGGGCACTACTGATTATATAGTGAAAATGCATTTTTTCCTTGTTCCTCTGCTCTGACTCTGGGAATTAAGTAATCAATCTAAGCATTCTAAGTGTATAGTTATGATGAGCAGTGGTGCCTCTTTCAAAATTGTGAATATCATGGCCTCTTGTTTATTGATTGATTGATTGTATGTTGTTTTACGTCCCGTGCGAGAATTTTTCACTCAGATAGAGACGTCATCATATACCGGTGAAGGGCTTCAAAATTAGACCTTTACTCGGCACTCAAGACCATTGAGCAGTAAGGGTTTTTTTATCGTGTCAACGCTTACCGTGACACGGGGCCTCGGTTTCTAAGGTCTCATCCGAAGGACCCGCAACTTTCACTTGAAAGTGCCGAGCTCTTTACGAAGGAACAGTTGCTACCTATTTTTTTATTGACTTAGGTCTGTCGCTGCCGTGATTCGAACACACAACCTTCCGATCACGGAGCGAGCGCTGAGCTACCGTGACGGCGCCTCTGGTTTAAAAAACGAACCAAATTTAATTGTTGGAAAGTTGTTACATGATACTCAAGTGACATATAAGGCCCGTGGACCTCTTGCTTCTTATAGAAGTTCAGGAGCACAAGCACTTGTTATGGCTACATGTTTAATTAATAAGATAATGAAATTGCATTTTGATTTACTCATAAACTTTCGAGTTGTAGACCCATATGACTAGTAGGCATTCAGAAAAATGCACCTTCAAAATGGCAGACTTTAGACATAATAGACATCTTATTGTGTATTAGCATTTCCGAATAATGGGAATTAATCAACATCTTATAATGTATTAGCATTTCCGAATAATTGGAATTAATCAACATCTTATAATGTATTAGCATTTCCGAATAATTTGAATTAATCAGCATCTTATAGTGTATTAGCATTTCCGAATAATGGGAATTAATCAGCATCTTATAGTGT